CTGCTTTAGAGAAATCAATCGGGAGTTTACTAGCCCAAAACAATGAAGGTGGGAAAGAACAGGCGTTGCACTACCTCAGTAGAATTCTGAATAAGGTAGAAACAAGATACTCCCTAGTAAAAAGATTATGCCTAAGCAACTAAACCCTTCACCCACAAGCAAGAAGAATAGATAGCAAGCAACTAAGTATGTCTTATGGGAGAAGAACCTGCTAAGGAAAACTCCAGATGGGCTACTATTGAAATGCCTAGGCCAAGAGGAATCTATGAGAGTAATGGTCGAAGTACATGAAGGAATATGCGGGGCACATCAAGCTGGAACGAAGATAAGGTGGTTGCTTATGAGGTATGAGTATTTCTAGCTCGACGTAGAAAAAGATTGCACGTCCTATGCCCGAGGCTGTGAAGAATGTCAAAGGCATGAACCCCTCCAACATATGCCTTCAGTACCTTTAAATCTAATGGTCAAGCCTTGGCCTTTCAGAGGGTGGGCGATGGACTTCATCGGGCAGATTTATCCAGCTTCTAGCAAGGGGCATACTTTCATAATTGTGGCAATGGATTACTTCACCAAATGGGTAGAAGCTTCAGCCGTAAAGACCATAACCTCAGCTTGCAGTCAAGAAATTTATTGAGACCAAGATTCTGCACAGGTTTGGGGTGCCCGAAACTATAGTCACGGATTGCGGGCCATCTTTTATTTCAAAAGAAGTTGAAGAATTTGCAAACAAATACAAAATAAAGATGGTCCAGTCCAATCCTTACTACCCTCAGTCAAATGGCCAGGCAGAGGCCAGCAACAAGATTTTGATAAACATTATCAAAAGAGTGGTGACAGATAGTCTAGAAAGGTGGCATGAAAAGCTAGGGAATACTTTGTGGGCATACCGAACCTCTAAGAGGGCAGGAACGGGGACAACTCCTTATGCTTTGACTTTCAGGCAAGATGCGGTTCTTCCTATGGAAATCAATGTAAGTTCTGTCAGAATTCAAAATCAATTTGGGTTACACAGTGAAGAGTACATAGAAGCCATGTGTCAAGAGATTGAAGACTTAGATGTAGCCCGAATTGAGGCATTGAACCAGATTCAGGAAGGGAAAAGAGCTGTTGCCCGAGCTTATAACAAAAAGATAAAGCTGAAGTCTTTCAAGGAAGGAAATTTAATATGGAAGGCAGTCCTCCCTCTAGGAGCTCAGCTTAGAGGCTTTGGGAAATGGAGCCCAGCATGGGAAGGTCATTTCATTGTTAGTCAAGTATTAGACAAGGGAGGATACTACTTGGCGGACATCGAAGGAAATTGGTAGAAACATCCCATCAATGTCAAATTCTTAAAAAAGTATTGTGCTATATTACGGGATGTTAGGGATTGTTATATTGAAGAAGGTGTAAGATAAAGCAGGCTTCGGGGTGCCGGAGTGCAGTGTTTGTTCATCAACCATTCAAGAAAACAGAAAGATAAAAGTTGTTAAAATGATGTTTTATTCATTTCGACAAATTAGTGAAATTTACATCAGATTCCGCTCCAATGTGCCATGCTCGATTCCTTCTAGTTGCAGTGGTGTCTCGACCAGTTTTCTGGTGTCTTCATGGATAAAACCCGATCATGTGATCGGGTTGTGCGACCAAGATAAGCCTGGTAGATGACCCTTAATGCGAACCTTCACCAGGTATGATGGTGAACTCAGACTTATCGGGGAAACTACCAGGATGGTGATCCCTCAACCAAACTTGTAAAAGTCCAAACAAGCTCAGAACGAGGGAACAGCCTGACCAAAGGTGTTGGGGATAACAGGGTGTTTGACCAAAGGTGTTAGAGATAGTAGTTATTTGATGAAAATCCTTTTTCTCACGTTTTAGGAAACTCCACGTGAGTCTTGAGGAACCAATTTCCCTAGTTTTAGAAGAAAACTTAGAAGGCAGAAACGCCCGAATGAGATAAAGGGGAAGGTTGAAGATGATCTGTTGGCTCGGCATAAAAAGCTTTTGGCTTAAGTTATTTGTTCAAAAATGAAGATTTGAGCCAGAATTTAGGAACATCAGAGGATAGCTCAAAGGTCGTGGGAAGAGCAAGAAACGCGAGATTGCATTAATCTCGTCCAGAAGACACAAGTTCCGAGAGCAGGCGTACATGCGCATGCAGCTATTCAATCAATATTGACACATGGAATTCCAGCCTGAATATTAATTGAATGGGTGGGTTAAAACTGGAACTTTGGGCTCAAAAGGAAGTTAGCCTAGAAGAAGGTATAGAATGAAGGAAGCACAAGGCTCAGCCGAAGCCCAGAAGGCGGAATAAGCCATTTTCCCAACTAAGTGCAGATCACTCGAACCACTTGCTCACTTACCTAGAAGTCAAGTGGTGTCGACTAGTCAGCTAATCAGCCCAAAAGTACTTTACAATGGCAGTACAAGTAAAAAGCTGATGAGTCACTACCCTTCAGCCGCATTCGGGCAAGATCGATACTGCAAGCAGCCAAGCCAAATCATCTATAAAAAGGGAAAGAGAAATCAGAGATAAGGACACTCAATCAAACAAACAAATACACAAACTCTGCTGAAGTCAGATTTGCATACGAAGCTGTAGTCAGCACCAAGCCTTCATCCTTTCCAGGATTAACCCTCACCAAGTTGCAAGACGATCAGCCTTGCCTGACAAGGTGAAACCTTGCCCAACCCTCCTTGTTTTGTCTTTTCATTCATAAATCTAGTAATATGATGTATACTTCCATCTGTATCCAAGTTATTTCTAGCAAGTTTATGATTAAAAGGCTTCTTGGTTTTTGAATCTGGTCTGTTTAATGGTGCCCAACCATGAAAAAAATAAAGTTGGAATCCGCACTCATAGCGTGACTAGATCTAAGTTCTAACCTTTCGAGCATACAAGATTTATCAATCAAAAGTCCTTAGTCTCAAGGCATAAAAAAGAACTTTATGTGGACTTAACCCATCCACGACAATCCTTGATAACAAGAAGTCTGAAGTTACTTAGGGTGCAAGTAATCAACCTATTTCTTAGTTTTACTTCTGATGGAAAGCCTCAAGGCCTATACCTAAGGCCCTACAAAGGCATCTATCTGGGTTCGTTCTGCTCTTCGGGCTTAGGTGATTAAAGTATAACCGTTGTAATACTTCTGCAACAATGAACCAACCACTATATGTTCGAGTACTTGGTTAGTTTTGATTACGAGCCTCAAGACCTACACCTAAGGCCCTACAAAGGCACATTTCATAACTAACTTGGTCTCTCGGACATATACAATAAAACTAAACATCTGTTTTACATCTGTCATGCTAAAGATGGCAGTGGCACGCCTGAACATCTAAAGTTAATTTTAATTGTGAGCCTCAAGGCCTACACCTAAGGCCCTACAAAGGCATCTTTCAGAATTAACTGTCCTTCTCTTACAGCCTGCCAATAAGCAGAAGCCCGACAGACAATATCAACCGGCGCCAACCTCTTGGGGAGCTGTGTGCTCGTCGGCCAGGAAACGTCCCCATCGGAAATTCCTCCAGACGAACAGCTTCTACGTGAACTGCATCAACTAACCATGCGGCCGAATTTCGAATAAAAGATCACCAGCTTCGTATCTAAATTCAAATTTGAACCAAACCCATTTGTAATTACATGGCTGTGAACCAAAAGACCGGGCCTTTCTGCTCGTTCATCGATGTAGATCTGCAGGATATTCTTGTACAGAGGGTACTAAGAGTTCAATTGGGTTGGTCTGGAGAGAAGGAGTCTCAGAGCTTCTTGAAGCTGGCCCCTTTTGCACAAGGCCTGCATAATGTGTGAGTTTGTGGAGTACTATGGAATGGGGTGCGTCACTATTTGAAAGTTCGTTTATCGTTTCTGTACAGAAATATGAACAAAATTTTTGCCGCTACTTTTAACGGAATCATATTTGACAAATGACAATATTCATGGCAATATCTACGTCATCTCAATACAAAATTTACACTATCTCAATTTCTCAATATTATTGATATTGTAGGAATGTTACCTGTAGACAATATTGTGATGTTATATGTACCATATAGAGAAGTTAGTTTAGATATTTTATTCTATCAAGATATTTTCGATACAGTAGTGAGTCCTCATATTCATTTTGGCTGAACATTTTCGAAATCAGTTCATATTGACAAGTTTTTCTTTAGTAGAGATTGTTAGTGTAGAATATTATTTATAAAAAAAAAAGTCGGACGATAATCCAGTCAGAAGATACAATTAAAGAATCCCACAATAAATGGCTTTATAATTAGAGCCACAGCAGAAGAATTTTCAGCCAAACATCATTTTTGTTTGGAAACCTTTGTGGTGATCACTCATGCATATTCATGGCTACTTGGCTAGCAGTAGCAGTATGCTGATCAATGTAATTTGCTTGCTCATTTTTTCAAGCTTTTTTCAAGCAGTAGCAGTAGAACTCAGACTAGGTGACACTCTAAAACTCTTCAACTTCTTAGTTTCTGCAAATGGGAAATTCAACATTGGGTTCCTTGTCTTTGATCATAATTCAAACTATAGCTACCTTGTTGTAAAGTTGCCTGCAAGTCATAACTATGCATGGATTGCAAATCGAAACAAACCGGTTTTCCACCCTTTGGGATTTCACACCTGACCAAAACCAAACGCTGAAAATTACATATAGAGATGGTGAGCCTGTTGTACTGTATTCTGCTTCAGGAACTAGCATCGTCAATTTCGCTGCTACCCCTTTAGATTCTGTGAATTTCATTGTGCAAGAACTGAGGTCTGATGGATCAACCAAAAGGATTTTGGGGCACAGTTTTAATTTCCCAGAAAGGTTTAGTTGAGCTTGTCTGATTAACAGGTTTGATTTGTGTGGACATGAAATCTTTTTATAAGAACGTAAGAGGATCATATGCATTGGCACTGCTACCGCTGCTGCGTAACTTGATCAGGTAAATTATACACATAAAAGTATTGCTCGTCTTACTTAATCTATGTGTAATAACTGAACGTTTTACAGCAGAGAACGGACAGCACACAATGCCAACAGCTATTATATTTGATCTTTCCATAGGTACATCAGTTTGTCTGGAATAAGTAATTTTCCAACTAAATTAGTTCCACCATATAAAAGAAAGTCAAAATTCAGGCAACCGTAAACATAATAGTATGTAATTCATCGCGGTACATCAGTTGAATTGGATATCTCATTTGCGGAAAAAATTTCTGGTTTTTTTCCACTTAGACCAGCTTCAACAACATTTCTTTCTGTAAAAAATGCTGGCTTTGCAGGTAATGGCATCGGTGTGCTTTGATTTGTCAACATAGATACAACATCTGGCATGGTAGGCCGATCAGCTGCATTTTCTTCCACGCATAGCAGACCAACATGAACACATCTTAACAATTGATCTTTGACGCATGAATCGCCTAATGTTGGATCCATGAATTCTAGAACTGTGCCTTCCTTCCATAATTCCCATGCCTGAAACATGCATGATTGTATTTAATTAGAATCACACACCTAAAACTACAAAAAAAAAAAATTTGTCGTCACAATTAAGAATTGGAATGACATACATATCCTACTATATTAAGCAGACGATCAGCATTGTAGAAGCTATTGTTTCTCCTGCCGCTTACAATTTCAAGCATTAACACTCCAAAACTATAAACATCAGATTTTATGGAAAAGATGCCCTGCATGGCGTACTCAGGAGACATGTAACCACTGTTATCAAATAGAAAAAGATACTTGTTTTAGTACTTCTGCATATATAAATAATCCATGTTATATTATATAGCAAACTGAAAGAGATGAAAGATCAATTTATTGTTTACTTACTATGTTCCGACAACCCTATTAGTATTTGCTTCAAGTTCATTATGCTTGAAAATCCTTGCCATACCAAAATCAGATATTTTGGGGTTCATATTTTTGTCAAGTAGTATGTTACTTGCTTTTAAATCTCTATGTATTACTGTTACTCTTGAGTACTTGTGCAAGTAAAGCAATCCTTGAGCAATTCCTTCAATTATAATAAAACGCTTCTTCCAATCAAGTGGCGTGACTCTTGTTGAATCTGCTCAGTATATAGGAAAATTATAAGATTGACAATTTTCTGTGTATTTTTGTCTTATCACACAAATCAGAAACAAAAATAAAGCAACCAGTAGGATTAAAGTGATTGTTACCAACCGAATAAAAAGTAGTCCAAACTTTTGTTTGGCATGTACTCGTATATCAGCATCCTCTCTTCACCATGAATGCAAAATCCAAAAAGTTGACAAGGTTTTTATGTTGGAGTTCATATATGAGTACCAATTCATTCTTAAACTCCAGTGTTCCTTGCCCCGAACATTTTGAAAGCCTCTTAACAGCTACTTCTTGTCCCGTCACCAATTTTCCCTGAATTAATGATGCACAATATCTCACCTGATCAACTATTTGTTTTTAGCATCAATAGACGAAGTACCGTTCTATGATTAAAAACCTTACCTTATAAACAGGACCAAATCCCCCTTGTCCGAGCTTGTTTTCTGGAGAGAAATTACATGTGGCAGCCATTACAGATGCATAACTAAAGACACTTAAATCCGGTCTCATATATCCATGATTTTGATGTGCATTGGCATCAGTAGGTCGATCAGATTTCATTAAGTCAAGCAATTCATCTTCAATGATCTTTGTCTCTTTCTCGCCTATTTATTATAAGGTATAATATGAATTTTATGTTCATGACAAAAAAAATTTCATTGACATGAATTACATTGTGTACCTGAAAGTGCACATTTTCTTAGCAGCTGTGATACTAGTGCCAATAAATATCCGCGTTTTTGTATCTGCATTGATTAGTAAATATATTTGGCATTTAATTGCGTATATACTAGTGTGTGTGTGTGTGTGTGTGTGTGTGTGTGTGTGTGTGTGTGTGTGTGAGAGAGAGAGAGAGAGAGAGAGCGGCCCAAAGTTTCCTTTGTTCCTTTTACGCATCCTGCTGAGGAAGGAGTGCACTTGTATGATATAGAGACTAGTGGACAAGTTCTTACTTGAAAACATTAAGTAGATTTACCATTATGGCGAGGTGACTTTGTTTTCAAAATATTGAAAGTAGTATCACCAGTGGAGCCTTCAAGGAACTCTGAGATATTTCTGGTATAATATTGACATCCAGATTGATCATCTTCATCTAGAACATTAAATCCAAGGCACTCGCAATTTTTCCAACAAGAATCTTTACAATCGCTAAGACTTAGACTTGTATTAGGATCAATCGGGTAGGTTTTATTTGAGATGGTTGGAGTAAAGTAACCACGTCTTAGCTCGAATATGTCACCAACATGTCTGCAAGTTGGCTTCTCCGCCCATCTCTGGCATCCTCCATCTGTGTTATAGCCATAACAGTTTTCTGTTCTTGCAATCACAAATTCTCCAGCGTTGTCTAGTTGTCCAGCTAAGGATAGCACCCATTCAGTTGAAGTCTGGTTTAGAGGGTGGTAAGTGAAGGAGGCTTCAGTTTCATTGGAAACAATACTAATATTATACCTACTCATCAGCTGCTTAAATCTCTTACTTGTAGAGGCTCCACTAGTCCAGTAAACCACTCCGCGTCGCTTAATCTGCAATTCTTGCGTTTTGTGGTCCCATTCAAGGGTGAAAGGCCCCGGCTCTGGATTGGACTGACTTGACCATGAAGTAAGTGACAAAATGTGCCCGTTTCTGTGGTTAACCCCTAATTTCATGCCTGGATAAAGGGTATCTATTGGATGATCAAAACTTTGCCACAAGACCCGATTTTTCGATCCATGGATAGAGTTCACTTCTTGTACGACAAAATTGCCAGAATCCAGTAGAGTAGCCACCACAGTACTAGTGTTTGAATTTGCTATTTCTATACTGGCAGAGTAAAGCTCCAACCGCGTCCCGCCTCGGTCCACAATTTTCAACGTTTTGTTCTTGTCGAAGGTAAGAACTCCTGAAGGGTATAAAATAGGTGTGTCTCGGCTGGCAATCCATCCCTGGTTACCACTGCCTTCGCGCTGTATGCACAACTGACTGGAATTTGATTTGTCATATACAAAGAAACCCAAGCAGAAGGTCCCCATTGCAGAACATAAATAAGTTGTAGAGTTGAGTGTGTCACCTGGTTTGAGAGTGTCACCTGGTTTGAGTGTGTCCTGTGCACTTGCAGCTGTATAATAACAAATCCACACTAAGCTTGAAAATATGAGCAAGCAAGTTCTGCAGCTAGCCATGAATGACTATAGAAAAGTATTATCCGCCTAACCTTTGTTCTTTGTTGGTTGTAACTGAGTGATAAGCCCTAAATCTAAAGCAAATTATTAGGTCTCAAGTGATTTAAACTTTAAAGTTCAAGTGGCCGACAAAACTTTTAAGAAGATAACCAATCAACTAAATAGATGTCGAAAAAAGACAGAAGGACCCCTTGTACCACTGAAACATACACGTATACAACTTTGGGTAAGGTTTCTTAAGATTGGAGGTACGCATGTTTCACGCACGTACATATGTTGTTTGACAAACTAGCTAATTTTAGCTATATGTTTTGTCTTGCTTATGTGAATTAAATTGGTTAGTAAACAAGGCTGCATCAACTTTAAAGGAAATAAACTGTTGCGCTTGTACTGTGCAGAAACTCGATTCTTGCAGAGGCACTGTTGTGCAAGAGAAACTGGTGGTCTTGGAGATGAATATTAGTGAGTGGCGTTTATTATCATTATTAATAGTCACATGTTTACCTTTCTTTGCTCTCCGATTTGCTAGGTCTTTCTAACTGGATGATCGAGCTAGATTCGAATAACATATTTTCAGAGGTATGTAATCACCAAAACTTGATTCTTGTTCTAAATTCATACATATGTTGGCATATCTATTTTCAATCTCTGGTTACAAGTCTTAATGTATTAGGATTTTACGTAGTTGGTATGTTTTTGTTGAGTGACCTTAGTGGCATGTCTATTTCCAATCTCTGCTTCTTGTTGTAAATAACTCTTGGAGTTTTGCTCTGGTTGTTTCCCTTTTAATTCAACTTTCGTTGATCAGCGGAACATGTCTGTTTATGTTGATTATGTGTGGTCCAGTTGAGGTATTTTCATCATTGAATTACTTTTGATTTATATTATTACGCGAGATGAAAATGGAGCTGTTGCAATGGTTAAAAGGGCTCAAATGAATATTTGAGTATATGGATATATTCGTTTAGTTCAATTCTTCTTGTATAAAAATTTGAGATATCGCATGGTTGTAATTGTTTGAATGATGGTATCATGGTATGATATTGGTGATTTGTAATAAAACAAAAAGTTCTTGATTTAATTAGTGTTTTCGAAGTGATATTTGATCGTATAACAATGTATGTCATAAATGTAATAGACGTTTCCTATATATATCGCCAAATGCTATGAATTGTATGAAAATGCTATAGTAGCATTTGAAAAATGCTATGAAAAACATTTCATAGCAATTCCTTTATGCACGCATGTTTCACGCACGTACATATGTTGTTTGACAAACTGCTCTAGTCAGCCTACATATATAGTTACTCTTTCAAATGCATTGATATTCTTGATTCTGTAATCAGTCATATAATTTGGTACATTTTTTTTACTCAGGCGGAGTTGCATTTTTAAAAAGAAACAAAAAGGATAGAACAAAAGGCAGAGGGTACGAGAGCACCAATGCGAAAGAATTAATATTAGATGATACTCGAAGAAACCCCTCATAAATCAATTAAAGCAGTTAAATTTACATAATAAAATCGGTCTCTATAAAATTTACATTAAGAATAGAAAAAATAATATTTAATAAATAATTGATTAAATCACATTATTGCTAGCCCATTGTAAGGCCTTAATGTAGATAATATCGTTTGATAAAAAAAAAAAAATCATTTGACAACTAATTTAATCACATTATTATCCGCGTGCGAAATACCTTTTTTATAACCAGCATTACACGCCTCTTAAGATGTTTTGAACGTGTTTAAAAATAGAGAAAATAATATTGACTGAACAGCTGATTGAATCACATTATTGCTAGCCTATTGTGAGGCTAAGCCCACCCCCTCCTCCTTAGCTTAGATAATATCGTTTGTTAAAAAAAAAATCATTTGACAACTAATTTAATCATATTATTATCTATATGCGAAAGACTTTTTTTTTAACAGACATTACACGCATCTTAAGATGTTTTGAACGTGTTTAAAATAGAGAAATTTAATCACATTATTATCCGTATGCAAAATACTTTTTTTCATAACTAGCATTACACACCTCTTAAGATGTTTTGAATGTGTTTAAAAATAGAGAAATTGAATCACATTCTTGCTAGCCTATTGTGAGGTACTAATTTAAAATATATAATAAAAAAACAGCACAAAAAAATTAATTATTACAAAAACACTGTTAAAATGACGAAAATGCCCCAGCCTTATTTGATGCATTATTTTGGGATGTCTTTGAAGTGTTTTGTCTTGGGGGCATTTTGGTCCAAATATTTTTGTTGAAACTTGGTGACACCAAAAACACTATTCATCTTTTGTGTTCTCTTTATATACAGACTAGCCTTCATGCACTAGTGTGAGACATTTTTTGAATCACGGCGTGCTATACGCGGCTTACACATTTTAAATGTATTTATATGCATAAATTGATAAAAGGAAAGTCAAATATTTGAAGTAAATGAATAATCTTAGATCATGCTAGAAGAAACCCCTCATAAACTAATTAAAGCAGTTGAATTCACATAATAAAGTCGGTATCTATAGAATTCACATTAAGAATAGAGAAAATAATATTTAATAAACAATTGATTGAGTCACATTATTACTAGCCTATTATGAGGGTAAGCCCACCCCTTCCCGCTTAGTGTAGAGAATATTGTTTGTTAAAAAAACAAACAATAATTTGACAATTAATTTAATCACATTATTATCCACGTGCGAAAGATCTTTTTTATAACCGGCATTACACGTCTCTTAAGATGTTTTGAACGTGTTTAAAAATAGAGAAAATAATTGAATGAACAACTAATTGAATCATATTATTGCTAGCCCATTGTGAGGGTAAGCTCACCCTCCTCTCCCTTAGTGTAGATAATATCGTTTGTAAAAAAAATGCAATTATTTGACAACTAATTTAATCACATTATTATCAGCATGCGAATGCCTTTTTTTATAATCGGCATGTCACACCCCGATCCCGACATACATCCAGGATTGATACGTGACGTTACCAAATACTCGTATCTTAACATACCCCGTCTCTAGAATAGGGCAAATCACAACTCAAGAATCGAATCACATAGTCATTTTTCCGTATACTTTATGGCTGCATCTAACCTCCTCGTTAGACTGCTAACGTACCCTTATTAAGGATTAAGCCATTCGTAGTTCATCATTTCGCTACACTCGAACATTCATCACATAAACCACTATATCTCAACATAATACTACAATTAAATTATGTAGCACCTCAAGGAGCATTTAACAAGGCACAATATTAATTTCTATTATATCACTCATCCACATATATGCATTCCAACACCATCCAATTGTCACATCAATCAATAATGCCAATCATCATATCATCAATAACACATACAATTCATCAAACTGCAGGGCTAGAGCGACACAGTTCGGCCGAAGCCTACATCTCTGAAGTTGTCTCAAATGATACGATTTCGAACCACTCAACAAAATCCATCATCATCGGGTTCCGAACCTCTCATCGGAACCAGGACACCAAAGGGGATTCCGGACCATCACTCAATGAAATCCATCATCATCGGGTTTCGGACCTCTCAACGAAACCAGGACACCAAAGGGGATTCTGGACCATCACTTAATGAAATCCAAATTGGGATACCATTCCGAACCATCACTCAACGGAATCGCAGAGTAGGAAGGATTCCAGACCATCACTCAACAAAATCCAAACCAATATATGATTCCGGACCATCACTCACCGGAATCGCGAAGTAGAAAGGAATTCCGGACCATCACTCAACGGAATCCAACCAAGCATATGATTCCGGACCATCACTCAACGGAATCACATAATAGAAAGGATTTCAGACCATCACTCAACGAAATCCAAGCAAGCATATGATTCCTACCAAATGTACCAGGTGTATCTAAACCTCATCATCTACATAATTACAACGTAGTCACTTACACATTCACTTCTCGTGACCACCAACTAATATGTCACACAAGCATATAAGTTTTACAGAATACTTCTAATAGGAATATACGATCACATTATCACCACATTTATTGGACTTACCTTTCACATTACTAAAAGATAATTAAACGCACATATATAACAATCATCACCCGTACACAAGCCAATTCATGTTTAATAAACATAAGTCTATGGCTATATATATATATAAATCATATGTCAATAGAAATCCTATTTATAAGACCAATTCATATTCACAATTAATACCAATATAAGAAATTAAGATAATAAACAATATCACAAGTATTCAAGTCACTCTCCAACCAATGTAGTCCCACTAGACTTCACTCAAGTCTCCCATAGTACTAATTTTAGTAATTAGGACGCTTCATGACATGTTGACCAAAAGTCAATTCTTGATCAACAATATGGTCCACAAACTTACGTAATTTGATTTAGAAGATATCTAACTTGGATTTCCAATCCGTAACTTTCCAAAGTCCACATTATGCTCAAATAACAACATACTAAAATCTCAACACGATCCGACGGTCGGATCTCCGCCAATTTCAAAATTCAAGTGACGGTCGACATTTAAGTTTACAAACTTAGAAATCCAATTAGGGAAGATCCGTACGTCGGATTCTCGATCCGTAAGTTTCTATGATCCAAAAATATTATGTTCTATCACACATTAAGGTTTGGTGATGATCCAACGGTCAGATCGTCGAATCATATTTTTGACCTAACCACGTATCGTAATGAAATTAGGTTCAAACAATCAAACCATATCACAAGGATATCAATTATGAAACCAGGGCATATAATTGAACTTAAAAGGACATCGTCGGCCCACCGGCTAGGCCGCGCCGCACGCGCTGCCGTGGGTGGCAGTTGGCCGCTCCGACTTGTCAGAAAATTCAACTATTTTTAAAAATTACCAAAAATTAAAGAAACGAAGATTATACTAAAACGCTTCTTCCAACCAAGTAGCGTGACTCTTGTTGAATCTGCTCAGTATATAAAAGAATTATTAGATTGACAATGATCTGTGTATTTTTGACATATCACACAAATCCGAAACAAAAATAAATCAAGCAGTAGGATTAAAGGGAGTGTTACCAACCGAATAAAAAGTAGTCCAAACTTTTGTTTGGCATACACTCTTATATGAGCATCCTTTCTTCACCATGAATGCAAAATCCAAAAAGTTTGACAAGGTTTTTATGTTGGAGTTCATATATGAGTATCAATTCATTCTTAAACTCCAATGATCCTTGCCCTGAACATTTTGAAAGCCTCTTAACAGCTACTTCTTGTCCCGTCACCAATTTTCCCTGAATTAGTGATGCACAATATCTCACCTGATCAGCTATAAGTTTTTAGCATCAATAGACGAAATATAACATTATATGATCTAAAACCTTACCTTATAAACCGGACCAAATCCCCCTTGTCCGAGCTTGTTTTCTGGTGAGAAATTACATGTGGCAGCCATTACAGATGCATAACTAAAGATACTTAAATCAGGTCTCATATTTCCATCATTTTGAAGTGCAGTAGCATCAGTAGGTCGATCAGATTTCATTAAGTCACGCAATTCATCCTCAATGATCCTTGTCTCATTCTCGCCTATGTAAATTAAGGTACAAAATATATTTTACATTCATGACAAAAACTTTCATTGACTCGAATAACTTTGTGTACCTGAAAGTGCAAATTTTCGTCTTCATAGTACATAGCAAGCGATGCATGGGACAACTAGTAGTAGAGTAGCAGCTGTTATACCAGTGCCAATAAATATCCGCTTTTTTCTATATGCATTCATTAGTAAATGTACTTGTCATTCAATTGCATATATACTAGTGTGTGTGTGAGCGCGGCCAAATTTCCTTCGTTGTTTTATGCGTCTCCTGTTGCGGGACGATCTGAACCGGTACGATATAGTAACTAGTGGGTAAGTTCTTAGTTGAAAAGGTTAATGATCGGTAGATCTACCATTATTGCGAGGTGACTTTGTTTTCAACATATAAAAACAAAGTGTAGTATCACTAGAGAAGCCTGTAATGAACTCCCAGTTTATTCCTGTATAATATTCAAATAGAAAGTTGAATCCAAAACAGTCGCAATTTTTCCAACAACAATCTTTACAATCACTAAGACTTAGACTTCTATTAGAATCAGTCGGGAAGGTTGAATTTGAGTTGAAACCATTTTTTATCTCGAATGTGTCACCAACATGTCTGCAAGTTGGCTTCTCCGCCCATCTCTTGCACCCTCCATCTCTGTTATAGCCATAACAGTTATCTGGTCTTGCAATAACATCTCCTTCCAAGTCATCCAGTACTCCAGCTGTTGTTAAGAACCATTGTGATGTAGAAGTCTGGTTTAGAGAGAAGTAGTCTTCATTTTTGTTTGAAACAATGTTAAAATTATACCACCCCATCAGCAGCTTAAATCTCTTACTTGTAGAGGCTCCACTAGTCCAGTGAACCACTCCGCGTCGCTTAATCTGCAATTCTTGCGTTTTGTAGTCCCATTCAAGGGTGAAAGGCCCCGGCTTTGGATCGTACTCACTTGACCATGAAGTAAGTGACAAAATGTGCCCGTTTCTATGGTTCACGCCTAATTTCATGCCTGGATAAAGGGTGTCTATTGGATGATCAAAACTTTGCCACAAAATCTGGTTCCTCGATCCATCCATAGAGTTCACTTGTTGTAGGATAAAATTGCCAGAATCCAGTAGAGTAGCCACCACAGTACTAGTGTTAGTATATGCAGTTTCTCTACTGGCAGAGTAAAAGTATTAGCTGCATAACCTTTCTTCTTTGTTGGTTGCAACTGATTTGAACTTTAAAGTTCAATTGGCCGACAAAACTTTTAAAATGATAACAAATGAGCCCAAAGTGATCTCACGGTGGAACGGGGTCTCCTTTCTTCATTTCCTTCCTCCTTTTTATCCCTCGTGTGCCTCGCTGGCGTCTCACTCTCTCAACTCTCTGCTCTACATCGCACCCTCTCAACTGGAAATCTAAAGCAAATTTTTATGTGTGAAGTGATTTAAACTTCACAGTCCATGTGGCCGACAAAACTTTGAAAAAGATAACCAATCAACAAATAGATGTAGAACAAGACGGAAGGCCCATTTGTAGCATTGAAACATAAATGCACACAACTTTGGAAAGGGTTTCATAAGATTGGAGCTACACATGTTTCATGCACGTATATGATATAGTTGTCCGCCCAATCATTTCCTTTTTTCAACTACCATGGCTTTTATCTTTCGAATGTGCAACTGTTTTGTTTGTTTTTCAACAGCAGCTGTACTTGAGTTTTTACATTAATCGCGTTCAATGCTATGCTATAGTGTGTCTTGTACGTTTTTAATCATCCCATTCCAAGCTGAGCTGGTTCACCAATAACTCTTCAATGTGTCAGAGTGTTTGTTTGGAAAAAGATGCACAAAATCTGATAATTGGGAATATTCACCAGTAGCACCCAAATTCAAACATGGTGTTCAAATTTCTCGGATTTTCTCGGAGTCCAAACGGAGGCTATTAATGATAAATTTACTGTCCGAGCTATAATTGCAGCCATGGCCGGTGATGGCGGAGTCCATGGGTCTTCTTTGACGCGACTCGGGTTTGGTTTGGGGATGTTGGGAAGGAGCAATCTAAGACTATTTATCATTAATAGCCAAAACTTAACACTCAATTTCATAAATATCACTTTTTATAAATAAAAAAAAAATTCAAATATAGTAGGAAACTGATGTGAATGGACACTCTCAAATTCCAAAACTCATTTACACAGAAAAGCGAAAAAACTTGAATAGATCTCCACTACATTATTGTTCAAAGTGTGAGGCCGCTAGGGGAGTTTGTGGAGCCAAAAATATTCACTAGGCGACACGTGGACTTTTGGACAAAAGAGGACAAAAATACCCTCGAGGCATACCGGGTTTCCTACACACGAGCAGTAGAGAATCATTTTTTCAACCAAGTCAAAAGTGCCCAAAATAGGTATCAACTTAAAACCTAATTTATTCATATATTTCCCATTTCATTATTTAGCTAATCAATTAGCTAAATAATATACTTATTCCTTTCATATTTCATAAAATCATAATAATTGACTAATTAAGGGATTAATTACCTAATCAATCCCTTAATTGTCAATTTGAAACATCCACTCAAACCTAAAAACACAAGAGGGCCGGCTATCCCATTGAAAAACCTAATCCATTACCTTTTTTCTACCTTTTCCCACCATTTCTTCCTTTTTTAGCCAATTATACAAAAAACCACCAAACATTCATTTTATGTTTAATAGCCAAATAAATTGGCTAATTAAACCTAAAAACCCTAGCCACCTCCTATCCCTATAAATATACTCCCATTCTCACCAAAAAGCGAATTCCAACACTTTGGCAAAAATCCCAAAATTCTCTAAACACTCTTTCTCTCTAAATTCTAACTTTGGCATCGGAGGTTCTTCGGCCAAAGCCCCCCCCCATTCATCGTGGGCGCGTGAGGCTCTTGGCCTTAACCTAAGGTGTTAATTGTTTTGTAGGTGCAAAATCGTCCAAGATCGAGGAGGAAGAAATTTGCATCCACAAATTGGTGCTTTCATTGAGAGTTGAAATCCATACTCGTAGAAGACTCTCGCACAAAAAAGGTTTTTTCTTTATTTTCTAGTCCATTTGAATATTTTTCATACGTTCTTATTATTAGAATTTTTTACTTGCAAAGGTTCTTTGATAAAACGTATAAGCAAAAAAATAATGGCTAGAAATTTAGAAAATTCCACAAGTGAAAATTCTAATGTTCAAGAAATGGGATTGCGGAGATCCGTGAGGCTAAATGCGACAATAAGGGGAGCGGCATCATCATCACGAGCTTCCACCATGGGAACCACCGTGGTGGCTACTTCGGTAGCTACCCGCGGCGAGGTCCATGGTGCCTTCACCACGGCCACCATGGGAACCACCGCGGTGGCTACTTCGGTAGCCACTCGTGGCGAGGTCCATGGAGCCTTCACCACGACCCAGAGATCCGTAAGGCAAAATGCGACAATAAGGGGAGCGGCATCATCACCACGAGCTTCCACCATGGGAACCACCGTGGTGGCTACCTCGGTAGCCACCCACGGCGAGGTCCATGATGCCTTCACCACGGCCACCATGGGAACCACCACGATGGCTACTTCGGTAGCCACTCGTGGCGAGGTCCATGGAGCCTTCACCACGGCCCGAGCCGTGCCATCCAAGGCTCACGGTACCAAGACCACGATCCAAGCCGTGCCATCCAAGTTCACGTGGACCCAAGCCCAAGCCTCGCATTCACATGCACCGCGCATTGAGCAGCCTGCTCCCGTGATCCAGCCTGCTCCCGTCGAGCAACCCACTCCCGTGGCCCAGCCTGCTCCTGCCAAGCAGCCTACTTCCGTGGCCCAGCCTGCTCCCGCCAAGCAACCTGCTCCTGCCAAGCAGCCTGCTTCCGTGGCCCAGCCTGCTCCCGCCAAGCAACATGCTCCTGCCAAGCAGCCTGCTCTCGTGACCCAGCCTGCTCCCAACGAGCAGCCCACTCCTGACGAGCAGCCCACTCTCAAGGCCCACACTGCTCCCGTGGCTTTCCAAGCAGCCCAAGTCGGCCCAAAACTATCTCAACCATCTGGACCTACCATCGAGCCGGGGGCATTCTCACCACATTTTTTCGCGGATTTGACATTTCCCAACTCAAATCTCGCGCCCGGAGTCTACCACCCTTCCACTGCTCAAGGAGGCGCATTCCTTCCAAGCTCTTCCAATCCAAATGGCGAACAACACTTGTCTCGACAAGTCATAGAGTTGACGAGCACCCTTGCACAACAGACAACTTTGGTGAATCAACTTTTGCAACGCATCGGGATCCAACGTGCCCCGGATGAGGTATCCCGAAGTAGGACAAGGGCAGACAAACTTTTCCAGCAGCATCCCAGCAAGCAGCCATTCGACCAGCCACGAGCTGAACGTTCAGGCAGTGTACATTCCCGATTGGGCCCCCGAGATAGCGTATACTCCCGTCTTAGCGCGCGGAGGAGCGTGTACTCTCGACTAGGCCCACGGATGAGCATACATTCACGGTTGGGGTCACACTCCGATAGTCAACATGAGCAACCTTCCAGACAAAGTGTTCATTCGCGGCTAAGCCCACAAGGAGCATCATCCACCTCACATCAGAGTAGGCAGCACGACAGACGGAGAGAAGCAGTTACTCAATCCAGCTCAAGTTCAACCAGCAGCCTGCGAAGAACTCGCTCGCCTGCTAGGAATGCACCATATGCACTGCATCTGCGGCATAGACGAGCCAAACACATGGAAGAGCAGCCTAGACCAGCAAGTCATGGCTGGGGGCAGCCGAGAGCTGCACTACCCCAACAAAGGCAAATTCAGGAAGAAGTAGAGAGACTCTTGACCAAGCGATTGCATGATTTCCAACGCAACGAGGTCACCAACGAGGCACTACGACGGAACATGACCAACATAAGCAGGTCACCCTTCACGGACGAGATCGAGCAGGCAGAGCCTCCACGAGAGTTCAGCATGCCACATTTCACATCTTTCAAAGGGGATGAAGACCCGGAGAGACACTTAAAGCGCTACCGAAGCACAATGATCCTTTATCGAAACAACGATGAGCTCATGTGCAAGATATTCGCCACCACTCTACAAGGCGAGGCGCAAGATTGGTTCTACACCCTGCCGCCACAATCCATCCGGGATTTCTACGAACTTTCTTTGGTTTGCACCAAAGAATATTCATCCTATCGCT